CCATGCCTCCAGGTCAGTCAACCTGCGGAAGGCTTCACTGCATTAGGGTGCACTGCCAGGCATAGGGACCTGGTTTGTGCTAGCCTAACTGGGTCTTAGTCCACGGCATCATCTAGGTCAAACACTCCACACCAATCCCACTTGAGAGGGAAATATGTGACTGAAGTCACTGCAGCGTCCTGTTCCAGCTAGTCTACCCAGTCCCAGAATGTCCTCTGTTGGAGCCTCCTAGTCTATGGAAGGGTTACCTATTGTTCCTCTCACTCAACACAGGTTGATACAGGGCTCCCCACCAGCTGTGCTCTCAATTCAGTTCGCTGATTCCTGCTCTCAGAGCTTTCGCATCTCTGTCCTTGCTGTGCCAATTCAGATGCAGCAGCGGTGGCAGGAAATTCAAGCCGTGGTTTCCAGAGGTATGGGTTCCAGCTTTGGCACTGAGACTTTAGCTGTTCCACTTGTAGCACTGGGATTGCATTTCCAGTTGGTTTCTCTCAGCTTAGTTCATTCGTGGGTTGTCAGGGTATATCTCCCCCTGCTTAGGACTCCCCACACTGCACCATTCCTGGAATCTAAGCTGGCTATCTCAGAGAGCCTCCATAGATGCTGTTATCTATCTGCCATGTTCTCCCAGAAGTCTAACATGATATTTTTATACAACGGAGTACTACTCAACTATAAATAATGATCACATCAAGATATTTATAAGTAAATAGATGCAATTTGAGACCATACTCATAAGTGAAATAAATCAAACTCACATGTGTAAATACTGTATTGTCTCCCTAGTGTAAAAAATGGTAGAAGCACATAAGATAAAAAATCCTCAATAAATTCAGTGAAAGGGTAAGAATCTGCTTAAAGGGGGAAAATAATATCTCAGGGAAAAGTAGGAAAAAGAAAAAGGAAGGAAAAAAATAGTCACATTTGTAAAAACACAGGATAGTTAAGATGATTGTGCTACAAATTCTATAAGTTCTTGGAATAAAACAGTTAACATTTATAGAACTGGAACAATTTTGCATGTTTATGTCTGGTGATCTGAGGAACTCTTTAGAAGATCACTATGTAAAATAACAATCTTAATTATGTTCCTACCACCTTGTTTTAAAGGCCTATATCATCAGTGTTTTGGGCTCTTTACTATTGTTATTTATTTGTCTTTATTGTTGTTTTTCTAATAATCTGTTTTAGGTTTTGTTTTGTTTTGTTTTTCCCTCTAGTACAGAAAGTATAAGTATACATGTAGAGGCTTATTCATGCCTAGAACTTCTCCTAAATAGTTTATGAAATCGACTATATTATGCATGATGAAATGAACAGCTGCTTTGAAGAAAAAGAGACATTATGGTATCCACTGCTGACTCCTTATCATCATGCTGTGAAATCCAGTAATGCTTTTATTCTTTGTTCAGAGTGGTTTTAGTCGGTTCTCTATTGTCTAATTTCAACATACATGAAGGTATGGACAGCTATTTTGAAGAGAACAAGAGACATTACGGTAGCCATTGTTGATTTCGAAGGTCTGTAATGCCTCATTATTCTGTTTTGATCAGTTTTATACTATTTTGTTTTGTATGAATTCACTGTGTGTGAAGATATAGACAAATATTTAGGAGAAAACAATGGTATGGTAGCCAGTGCTGATCTCCTGTTGTCTTGCTTTGAAATCTGTGACACACTGTTTTCTTCTGATCTACTTTGTTCTGTTTTGTTATGTTTAGTTTTACCCTCTTTAAGATAAAAAAAGAAAGAAAAGGATGTAAAAGTCAAAGAGCCAAAAGAGTAATTTGCATACAAAGCCAAGCATCTGTAGCATACATAAGCAACTTTTAGCCTTGGCTAACGTAGGGTTGCCTTGCAGATAAGTCAGTGAATGAGAATTCACCTTCCTTGCTTTGTTTCCATACATTTATCAAGCAACCACCACTTTGTTGATCAGTTGCTGTGATCTAAGTAAGCCCACCATTGTAGGGATGAGGAGAGTGGCTTCCCTTTATTAAACACAATGTGGAGTGAAGTGAGTTCCCAAATGAATGCATTCCTCACTACTAAATTTCTATTTGTACTGATATCTCTTAACATTATTTTAAGATTAATATCATTAAGGCTTTCTGGGAATTCTTTTCTGATATATAAACACAAGTTATTTTTGATAAAGTGAAACAGGAATAACATTTCAGAATTTTTGTTCTCCCTATCTGTTCATAGCTAGAAATAATCAGAAATCATGTACTTTTGACAATTTATAACTGTTGGGGGTTGCTCGAGCCGCTCCCCTAAGGTGGCGCCCGTTTCCTGCTTCCGGGTCCCTGTTGCCGCGCAAACAACCCTGTCAAAATGAGTGTCTACCTAGCTACCGGTGACTGTGGCCTATCAGCATGTGACTTCTGCTTCATATTGATTGGTTACTCAGATCCTATATAAGTGTGTGTTTCTGCCCCCAATGGGCGGAAGAGGAAGAAACTTGAGGGTGGCGGATCTTGTCAGATCCAGCTTCGCTGTACACAATAAATATTGAGAGCTGATCCAAACACAGTTACGTCTTTTGTTGCCCGCGGCGCCGTATAACTGGTGGCCCGTACAGGGAATAATTTATTCGACCGCTGCGCTCTCTCCCGCCAAGGGACGCGGCGGGCGTGACCTCCATCGCAATCTGTGAGTAACGGAAGATCTGGTCTAATAACAGCGGAGGACCGGGAGCGCCTCTTCTCAACACCCTGGTCAGCTACGCACGATACAGCGGATAAATACCTAGGTCAGGTGAGTACTGGGTCACCTGGGTCGGGTGGATGCGACCGATAAGCTCTGAGGCGTCTCACACATAGACGCCGCTGTTATATTCTCTAGCTCACTTGCCTTCCTTACTTTCACTTTCGACGCCATGGGCAACGCTGCCCGTAAACCCCTCGCTGCTTCATTGAGAATTCTGTTAAAATCCCGAGGCATCCAGATTAGCCGGGATACCGTGTCTTGCTTCCTGGATCACCTCAATGACTTGGCACCTTGGTTCTGGCCTACGGGTTCCCTGACTCTTCCTTCCTGGAAAAAATTGGGCAAGGATTTGTTACGTGCAAAGGAAGGGGGTAATTTGGACCCAATGGTCATGCCCCTATGGGTTAGTTAGGACCTGTTTAGCGGATGAGGACGCCCCCGGGCTACACTCAGCCAGACAGACTTTTGACAGGGCCCGTTCCGAATGTTCTGAGGAGCTAGATCCACCGCTTAAACCTGCCCCAGAGCTCTCTGATAGCTCTGAGGACTCGGGGTCGGATTCGGATGACCCAGATGATGTCGCGGCCCTTGACACTGGGGACATTGTTAAAGATACTAAACATGGGCCGAGAAAATCGATGCCTTCCTGTCCCGGGTATACTGACTTACGACAGGAGTTGAGATTCCTTCAGCCCTATGAGGCCTTACAGCCTGCGATTGCCCCCTTGGGGGCACCGTGGCCCACTGCACCGCCGTGGCAGGGGGAGGAGTTACTTCCTGGACTGCCACCCCCACCTGTGACCGGTGGGGGGCGCTCTTTTCATCAGAGAGTCTGGTCACGCCTACCCTTTGACTGTTCCGGTCTTCATGCCTTCCCTGTTCAAATAGGGGGCAGAGGAGGAGGGGGATATTACGAACCTTTAGAGACAAAGCAATTAAAGGCTATCAAGGATGCAACCTCAGCTTATGGACCTAATGCCCCCTTTACCATGGCCCTCCTGGAAGCCCTGGCTGGCTTGTTGCTGACACCCGGGGATTGGACACAACTTGCACGCACTTGTCTCTCCCTTGGTCAGTACCTAGATTGGAAATCATGGAATGAGGAATTCTGCACAGAACAGGCAGCAACTAATAGGGATAATGGACATAGGGAATGGAATAGAGATATGTTACTAGGACGGGGAGCCTTTGAGGAAGATCAGACACAGTTTCCTCGCCCTGTATATGAACAGATTAGCTGTTGTGGTGTTCAGGCCTGGAGACGATTGGTGGGAAAGGGTGAACACACGGGTTACCTTACTAAGATTGTCCAAGGTCAGGGAGAACCATTTTCAGACTTCGTGGCTCGCATGCTTGAGGCAGCAAATAGGATTTTTCCAGACACGGAGGCTGCTCACCCTCTTATAAAGCAGTTAATTTTTGAACAATGCACCAAGGAGTGCCGTGATGTTTTAAGATCCAATAAAAACAAGACCTTGGAGGATTGGACACGATTATGTCGGGAGCTCAGTGGACCAGTAACTAACCACGGGCTTGCCACCGCCATGATAGCCGCGCTCCAGAATGGTAATTATGGGGGTTAAACAACTTGGAAAAGGGAATAAAGGTAAAAATCAGGGCGCATGCTTCAATTGCAGCCAATCAGGACACATAAAGAGGAACTGCCCTAATAAGCAGTCGAGGGGGGATAACAACCTTAGTTCAGGGTTGTGCCCAAGATGCCGCAGGACAATCACTCCGCAGCAGAATGTCGCTCGATTTTTGATAAAGACGGAAGGAGACTCTCTGGACATCCTGAAGGCCAGTCAAAAAACGGCCAGAGGGGACCTCACCAGCAGGCGGGGTCCCCACAAACTCAAACTTTTCTCCAGTTTCAGCCACAACAACAGCAGGCCCCCCAAACCCTTTCAGGCGGGCAACTCCAGGCTCCGCAGGGTTGGACCTCAGTGCCACCTCCGAACTCCTATTGACCCCGGAGATGGGAGTTCAGTTGATTGAGACTTCCTTCCCAGGCCCCCTTCCACCAGACACAGTTGGGGTCTTGTTGGGAAGGTCCTCAGTTGCCCTTCGGGGTCTCACAGTTATTCCAGGGGTCATTGATTCGGACTATACGGGCACAATAAAAATTATGGTTCAAGCTCTGCAGGGCACTATTCTGATCAAAAAAAGGGGATAAGATAGCTCAGTTGCTAATTTTGCCAAGTCTTCATAAGCACTTCCCTGCGGAAAGACAGACTCGTGGAGATCGGGGTTTCGGCTCCTCTGGTGATGTCTTCGAAGGCCTACACATGACCTTACAGGAACGGCCTATGTTGACTCTAAATGTCAACGAGAAACCTATTAAGGGCCTATTAGATACTGGAGCTGATCGCTCCATTATTTCTCAAAAGGATTGGCCTGGCTCCTGGCCCACAAATGTGGCGGAGCAAAGCCTGCAAGGGCTGGGGTTTGTTCACGCCCCGAAAGTCAGCACCTCACTATTGAATTGGCGAGATGAGGAAGGTCATACTGGCCAATTCCAACCCTTCGTACTCCAATTGCCTGTGTCCCTCTGGGGAAGAGATGTCTTGACAGACATGGGCATTACATTAACCACTTTATATTCCCCAAAGGCCCAGTCCATGCTATTGAAGCAAGGCTACATCCCAGGAAAAGGCTTGGGCATCAATCTACAAGGCAGAGCAACACCGCTTCGAGGTGCTCCCAAACAAGATAGAGAGGGCCTGGGTTTTTCCTAGGGGCCACTGAAAGCCTTCTCACACCTGCTCCCATAAAGATTACCTGGAAAACAGACAGCCCCGTATGGGTGCAACAGTGGCCCCTACCAAGGGAGAAGGCAGAAACAGCTTCAGAATTGATATAGGCGCAACTCCAAGCAGGGCATATTAAACCTTCTACTTCCCCATGGAACACTCCTGTTTTTGTTATTAAGAAAAAATCAGGGAAATGGCGACTTCTTCATGATCTGCAAGCAGTAAATGCTCAGATGCAACCCTTGGGCGCGGTCCAGAGAGGTATGCCCGCTCTCTCAGCATTGCCACAAAATTGGCCGGTCTATGTGATAGACCTTAGGGATTGCTTTTTCTCCATTCCCCTACACCCAGAGGACTCCCCACACTTTGCGTTTACCCTACCTACGGTTAATCAAGAAAAACCTGACCTAAGGTATGAGTGGGTAATGCTACTACAGGGCATGACAAATAGTCCTACCATGTGCCAATTGTTCGTAGATGCCGTCCTTGAGCCCTTGAGGCGAGCCTTCCCAAAGAATAAATGCCTGCATTACGTGGATGACATTCTTATTTCTGGGAAGGGTCTCTCTAATCTGCAAAGTATGCTGCATCAGTTAGTTTCTACTCTCAGAAAAGCAAATCTACATATTGCCCCAGACAAAATCCAACAATCCGAGGTGGCTCTTTACTTGGGGGCCCAAGTCACCGCCACTCAGATTTCACCACAGAAACTTGCTATTCGAAGAGATACTATTCGTACCCTGCATGATATGCAGAGGTTGATAGGTGACATAAATTGGATCAGGCCATATCTTTCCTTGCCTAACAGTCAGCTTAAACCCCTATTTGACATGCTTAAGGGAGATCCTGAACTTACTTCTCCAAGAATACTTACTCCCGAGGCTGAAAGAGCATTACAGACAGTTGAGCAGGCGCTAGCTAACGCTGCATTGAGACATATTGTTCTTGAAAAGCCCTTTGTTGTATGTGTTCTCAGGACAGAGAGACAGCCAACGGCTGTCGTATGGCAGCAAGGTCCCTTGTTATGGGTCCACCCAAAGATGTCACCCGCTAAAGCCATAGAACATTATCCTGAAGCTGTAGCATCCCTATCCACAGAGGCGATTCTACGCGCCATTCAGCATTTTGGAGCGCCTCCCACTGCTTTGCATGTGCCTTACACCAGAGATCAAATTGAGGTTTTGACGGCCTGTTTAGATTCCTGGGCCATCCTCCAGTGTACCTTCCAAGGAATTATTGATAATCAATTACCCAAAGATCCCCTGGTACAGTTTATAACTGTTCATCCCGTGATTTTCCCAAAAGTCACATCTCCCAAGCCCATCGATGGAGCTACTATTATATTTACTGATGGATCCAAATCAGGTGTGGGCGCCTATGTGGTGATGGGCCAGTCACCGGTGGCTGTCCAGTTTACGCCGGAACAGCCTCAGGTGGTGGAGCTTCAAATTATACATGTAGTCCTACAACGTTTTCCCGGTGATGTCAATCTCATCTCAGACTCTAAATATGTTGTCAATGCTCTACAGATTTTGGAAACAGCAGGCCCTATTAAACCGTCTTCCACTGTCACCTCCCTATTTATAAAAATTCAGAGGCTAATATTAAGCAGGACTTCTAAGATTTTTATATCACATATTAGGGCACACACTCAATTGCCGGGACCCCTCTCCGAAGGGAACGCCCTTGCTGACATGGCTACGCGCCCGACATGGATTTTCGCCTTTCCCAGTGCGATTGAGTCAGCTCAACACTTCCAATTCTCAATTCCATGTTAACGCTCGTACTTTGGCGGCGCGCTTTAACATCTCGAGAGCTCAGGCGCGAGACATCGTTCGCCATTGTTCAGCCTGTGTAATCTCTCACCCTATACACTCAGTTGGTGTCAACCCACGAGGCCTGCGCCCCAATCATATTTGGCAGATGGATGTCACCCACATCCCAGACTTTGGAACCTTAAAATATGTCCATGCATCGGTTGATACCTGTTCACAGATCATGTTTGCCTCAGCGGAGACTGGAGAAAAGGTAACTCAAGTTATTAGTCATTGCCTCGCAGCTTGGGCTGCTTGGGGCAAACCAGCTATATTAAAGACAGATAATGGCCCTGGTTACACTAGTAAAACATTTCAAACATTTTGTGAGCAGATGAAAGTCCTTCTTAAACATGGCATACCTTATAATCCTCAGGGACAAGGTATAATCGAGAGATCTCATAGAACACTCAAAGACGTTCTACAAAAACAAAAGGAGGGAATAGGCCATGGCCTACCACCCAGAGGGAGGTTATCCCTTGCACTATTTACCATAAATTTTTTGAACCTCAATAATGATAATCATTCTCCTGCCGCGGAGCATTGCAATCCATCTCCTTCTGATAAAGGCCTAGTGAGATGGAAGGATGTCCTCACAGGACAATGGATGGGCCCGGATCCAGTAGTCAGCTGGACCCGAGGTGCGGTATGTGTCTTCCCACAGGAACCAGGCCTCGAACCCCTGTGGATCCCCGAGCAGTTGGTACAAACGGTGAACCCTCAGCCAGCATACCGGGAAATCCAAGATGACTCATCAAAAGATGGAGGAAAAGCATCGCTGGGAGGACAAACACCCAGGGATCCGGATAAGTAATCTCGTCCTCTGTCTGTTGTATGTGCTCCATTCTGCCGTGGCGCACCCAGAGCCGACCACATATCTGTGGGGACTCTGGAGGCATCCCCCTACTCTAGCCCCTTTTTCTGCGCTGTCTCCTAGTGCTCCCACGGTATTTGTGCCTAATGACTCTTCTATATCACTCCCCTATAAATGAACTTCCCCAAGCCTTTTCCCCTTTAATGCTTCCTTTCCGCTGAAAGAAGATACCCTTTTTTTCTCCTATGCTAACTTCACCTCAATGAGTCCTATGCATTATATAATGATTCTCGCCCGTTCATTAACTTCCTCAATTGGACACGCAGAGAATGTCTTGATTCTGTAAGCCAGCAAGGTAATGTAACACGCTGCCTCAAGATGGAGGTAAGATGGCCCTCCATAGATCTTAAAGATTGCAATCGGTCCCCTCATCCGTTGGAACATCCATGGATGGACCCTTGTGTTCCCTCTCATCATCCTGCCTTATTGAGAGGTGATATTATGCAAAATCTTTTCTGGCGCCATTGCTTGCCCACAGCCACAACATAATTCCTTCATGAATTATACTGGACATTGTGATATAGAGCATTTCAAGGGCCACAGGTATTTACAGGACATCAGATATGCAACCCGTTAAAGGCTTGTCTCGACCTGAGGCCATTTCTCACCCTTAATGGAACGCTCCATAGTACATCCACGAGCAATAGTGAAAGCAATAGCACTACCCACCTTCATAATTATGTTTGTGTGGACCCACCCTTCCTATTTCTCCTTGCCACCACACATAACTTCCAACTTTGTAATGAAACCGACTCTCTCTGCAGTTTATCTAACTGCTGGAATGGACACTCGTCCTTCGCTGTCTTGGTATATCGCCCAAGCTTTCTTTGGGTACCAGTAGAGACAAATTCTTGGGTGGGTCCGGTAGTCCAACAGATTTCAGCTTCTCAGTTACCCTCCAGACAGACTAGAAGTGTTAAAGATTGGCTTATTAATGCTCTCGGAGTTGCTGCTTCTGTTTTTGTCCCAGCCATAGGCCAAACGGTGTTGCAAGCGTGGACCATGAATCAGATAGCCTTGACCATGGAAGCAGTCAACAATCTTGCCAATGAGACCACCTACGCCTTGAGGAAACAAGAGCTCCTCATTGAACTTAACAGCCAGACCATCTTAGAGATCCAAAAGGAGATTGACGAAATCGGACAAGAGATTGACAACCTTTGGAATGTAGCCATGCAGCTATGCGATCAAAGATGGCTGGCTGCCCGCCTCTGCGTGACCCCTGCTCGCACTAATTTAACTGGCACTACCAAAAAGGTGACTCACTGGCTCCAAAACACCTACCTTCCTACTTTTAAAAACATCTCCACAGAGGTGTTCAGTGCCATTGATCGCATGGACAATATCCGCCTAAAGCCAGTAACCTATGACCTTGATAGTCTGGGGACAGTCCTGAAATCCTTGTGGGATTGTGTAAGTCATGATTCTCGTGGCCTAACCTCACCACTTGGGTCCTCATAGCTGTAGCCATACTAGTAGGCTTAGTGGTCATTAAGTGTTTGCTTGATCGATTAATGCAGACTCAACAACAAGTTAGGCTTACGGCGCTGGCCGCTATGCAACTTACAGAACAGGGCCTGACAGGGGGACCGGCTGCGGCCCATTTGTTGCGCCTGGCAGAACATCAGATTTAAATTGGCTGTTTGCACCCATGGGTCCTCCTCCTCCTCCTCTTCCTCCTCGGATGTGTTGGGGAGTACGAATAACAGGGGCAATGAGATGCGAGACCAAGGGTACTGCAGTATCATCCACCCTGGTTGAGCTGAACAGGGGGTGATAGGAATGCATGTCTATATGCATCCAGGTTCCGCTCAATAATGCCTGGCCCTGCGAAAAATGAGCACCCCATCTCAAGCATGGTCTTAGCGCAAAGATATGCATAGAATGAGATGGTGCACAGCGGGGTATAGACCTCTGCACTCTCTCTTGTCCCGGCCTGTCTTGGGCCTTCCCCTTTTCTTTTGGCACTGGCCACAGTATACGGACGGAGGGGAAAAGACCCATGTGATTTGTGTATCAAATTTAAATAAAAAAGGGGGAGATGTTGGAGGTTGCTCGAGCCGCTTCCCTAAGGTGGCGCCCGTTTCCTGCTTCCGGGTCCCTGTTGCCGCGCAAACAACCCTGTCAAAATGAGTGTCTACCTAGCTACCGGTGACTGTGGCCTATCAGCATGCGACTTCTGCTTCATATTGATTGGTTACTCAGATCCTATATAAGTGTGTGTTTCTGCCCCCAACGGGCGGAAGAGGAAGAAACTTGAGGGTGGCGGATCTTGTCAGATCCAGTTTCGCTGTACA